TCTGTATTCTGTAATGGAATACATTTTAAAAGTAACCTTCCCAACACTGCTGGTTAGATAAATTGATACTTAAGTATGATCAAAGTAACTCCACCCATGTGACGTTTACTGCTTTACAGGGACATGTTCAGGTCACATGACAGGACGGTGAAGTTGCTCACACAAGTTCTGTGATCTTTATTTATTCCTCAGAGTAGCAAGTCCACTAAATGGGTTCAAATTAAATTTCTTGGAAGCTCTACTTGAACATAAAAGGGTTAGTTCACACTGATGATGTGTGTTTGGATGCATTTACAAGCTGGTGATGCAGTCCTAAGTACCTGCGCCTCAGCAGAGTGTGTGTATTCTCTCTATTACATAAATGTAGTGTGTATCTGTGTCTGTGGTCCCACTAATCTCTACCTGCCTGTTTATTCCTTTCACGTACTGCATTAGAACCACAGATGTGTCAATTTTTAATTTTTTAAAGTATAAATTATCCGTCAACAAGGTTTTTTACCCACCTGCTGCTCAAGAACAGGCACTTTACTCCTGAATTATGAAGCAGCGTGTTGCGTTTATTCGTGAAGCTCAGCTCTACTGAACACCTCAAACAGAAAAACTCGGAGACGCAGCGCTGGTCGTGTTTGTCGTTAGATTTTATTGCAGCTGAGGTTTTCTTAGTGTTTACAAAACCAGAGCAGATTGCAAGCGTCCACGGGGAGTGAAGGAGGGGGGGGCGGGAGTTTCACACGAGCATCGTCACGCTGCGTCAGTTAAGGGTGCAGCCTGCAGCTTCACCCCGTTACATTCACAGTGTCGCCGCCGTCGGAGCCTCATCCAGCTGGAACGGGGACTTTTTGGATGATTATACATAAACGCTGAGGGTCGTGTACAAGCTTTAAATTTACAATTCTGTTTCTCTAAGTTACATTCAAGACAAAAACAAGGCAACCACAGAGCGCTAAAATGAGATGCTGACTCTATGCTGTGCAGCTTTCAACCTCACCTCCAGCCTCTCTCTTCTCTCTTACAGCACCCCCCCCTCCCCTCCCCCCGGCACTCTCCCGATCTGCCCTCTCCTCAGTCTGCAGCTGTGAGCGTCGGGGAGTGTCGTAGTGCTGTTGATAAGGCAGAAACAGAGAGAGCTACTCACTCAAACCTTAAAAGGTCAAGAGCTCTGTGCATGTGTGCATTTGTGATGGGTAAGATAAGGAAGATAATGCAGCTGTATGACGGGTGAGGCGGTGGTGTGTTGGAGTCTCTAGTTTCTTACTAAAAAGGCTCGAGATACAGCCCGAGAAAATTCGTTTTTTAAGCTTTATATATCATAGCACAACCGTTCAACCCAGTAATATTTAAAGAACCTTGAAGCACCTCACTGGATCGAGTGTTCTCATTACGATTTATTGGAGCCAATCAGATGGCTCGCTGAGTCGTTACTGGTGCGCATGAAGCCTAGTTTGTCTGTGAATGTGTGCACAGTGTCCATCACTCTGCTCATTGGCTTGCATTGTTGATCGTCTCGGCATGGTGGAGCTGCTCTTAATGTTGGGAGTGGGGAGGGAGACAGTGTGGCTGAGGGAAAGGTGGAGGGTGAGAGTTTGCTTGAGGGAACGCCTCGACTTGGGACTGGCGTTGCAGCTGTGGTCTCTGAGCAGCAGCAGCAGCAGCAGCAGCAGCTTTGGCCTCCCTCTTGGGAGTATTGTTGAGGATGTCCAGGCTCCGGCGACTGGAGGAAATGACATCGGCGACGAATTTGGTGCATTC